AACTGGCGGGCGTTATTTAACTATTTTTACAGTGACAAAAATAAATACACAATAGCTATCATATAGTAAAATTGATTTCTCCAAGTCATAAGGTCGGGAAAACGATTACAGCCCGTTCCGAATGTTTCATACATTGCCCTACCATTCAGAACAGTTACACCGAATTCCTAATAACATTAGGTTACTTATACAAAGTAAATTTCCGTCGTTAATCAGTTCTTTAATTAATCCAAAATAATCCTAGCGAAAATATTCCTAGCGAGCCAAGAAATTCTTGACGGAAACGAAGTAGTTCCAGATGACCCCGAGCCCACGACAATGCGTATATGCACATGTATGTACTCTCCGCGTGCCTTCCTGAATAGAGGTCCGCGTTACCAGCGAAAGATATCCGCGATACGAGCTTTCTCAATATTGACACACACGCGCGGCTTTATCGAAGCAACGTATCAGCCGAAGGAAACGCGCTGCGGCATTTTCACTAAAGTGACACACACACACACTTACCTTCCATCCTGGCTCTTGAATGCTCCTCCGACTTTCTCGACGTCCTCCTCCATCTCACCGTCGTCGTCCCACTGATTCGGACTGCCAACCCCGCCGAGCCATCCCTCGACCGTGTTCCTAGCCGCGGCCAGGGCGATGTTCCTGACGGTCTCATCCCTAGCGCATAAAGGCGCTAAAAATCTGTTAACGATATCGACCTCGTCGCCCTTTGTGGAGGTGCCGCTTCCCGTGGTGCTGTTCGGATCTCTGTACATCTCGTCCTCACTGTTCACCACCTTCTATATTGCTTCTTCTATATATTTCTCTCTCTCTCTCTTCTATGTTAATAATAAACTCTCTCGAACTCTGTCCGCTTAACGTCGTAATTTTTACGCGGCAGAGTAGATACTCTCGGAATAATAATATAATTTAATAGAATCTAATCGTTTATGATACAACAGGCTCGGCGACTCCAAGCGAAGATCCTCCTTTTATAATATTCTCTCTGTGCCGGACACAACGATAACACTGGAACGAGAAAACGATGAAGATCGTTAGAGAACTCGAGAATGGACACCGATACCCGTCTGGATCGCCCCGCAACTTTCACGACGCGCGCTTGACGTTATAATACATTAATAATGATTTATTTCCACGAGACAAAAGCCCATTGAATTACGAAACATTACGCAAGTGACAGATCTATAAAGATACACGTGTGAAGAGTACAGTTTTTGCGCTCTAAATTCAACTTTTTGTAATCAAAATTATGCGCCATAATAATTAACGACCTAGTTGCCATTGAGTAGGTGATTTATTTTTATTCGTGTTAGAAACGCTTAGATCAGATCCCAGACACTTCGAAACGTCGCTTGAGGTTCGGAAAATCAACCGACGAGACTCTGTTTTCGTTGGACGTTGCGCAAAACGGACGCCATACGACCTTTCAACAACCTTTCCTTTACTAACGAAAATAGACAATATATATTTGTGTTACTAAACGAGAAATTATGAATTTATATCTAAGCGTTTCTTTCACAAATAAAAATAAATCACCTTCAATTATCACAAAGCTTATGATAAATAAACGTTCGAAATTTTAATCCTGAGAGCATTTTTTAAACGTTATTTCATTACTTTTTATTTTGGAAATGGCAAAAGGTTCGATTTGATCTGCAAAAGGGTGATTTTGATTTCAAGTCACTTGGTCCAATTTTAAAAAAGTTGTTTAAAAGGGTGCGCGAATATCTTTTTTTCCCACTGTATAGATTGGCCCGATTAATATGCTATCAGACACAATATACTATGTAGTGATTTTTCAATTTATTGTATATACTTCTTAGAGTGTTGTATGTATTTCTCACTTATTCTGAAGAGCCTGGGCGGCAACGATCGATCGGATCATCGGTCAATCGACAGTAATACGCGAATTCCGGTTTTCGTCTCGGCGACTCTACGTTGCTTAGCTCCGCGAACAAAGGGAACAGAGACGAAAAAAAGGAAAGGGTCGTCCCGGTGGTACTTTATCCCTCCCCCTTCTACGCGTAATTACGGTCGTTTCGTCGCGTTTTTTGCCGTGAGAATCGGTCGTAAAACTCGTTTCGTGAGGATTTTACTGCCGGTGCAGCTCGAGATGACCGTTTACAGGGCGATAGAAAGTAGGCGGGTGTCGAGCGATCGCGAGGCGATCCAGGGCGTCGTCGTTTCTTCGATCGAGTGGGGGAGGAGGGTAAAGAGGAACGAGAAAAAGAAAGCTGGGTGGTTGATCCCCTAACGTGTGACGAACCTTCGAAAGGAAACGACTGATCGGGGGAACGTTTCTTTCGTTCTTCTTCAAGCGAAACACCGATCGATCGCGTTCTGTCTGTCCTCCGATTGATACGCCCTGTTTGCCACCCCTTGTATATTTCGTGTCACGTTGACGATACTTCTGGTACTCGAAGCGTGATGCTGACAACAACTCAACGGCAACACGTTACATTGTTTTCTTTACATCGTAACTGCGACTTCCGTCACTGGGCGAGTCCACAGGATTCCGGTTCCAATTGGGGGGTGGTGGGCGGCTGTCCCTCGTGTTTCGCGCGTAATTCACCGGTGGTCGTCGATTCAATCCGTCGGGCGTCTGTAACCGACAGAGACGAGACATTGAAAGAGACAATTTGTACGGAATTACAGGATAAAGGAAACATACTTCAACGATTATTCACGATTGATCGATCTTCGTGGATAGAAACTCACATACATAATAGGATTTGGCTAGCGCGTCTGATCACTGCATTCCGTTTCTACTCATACCATGACGATACACGCGCTTCGGATTGATTTTCAAATTCAATTTTCTCGAAAATTAAGTCAAGAAAGACAAAATTTTATTCTATATTTTTTTCTTATTCTTTGTTCATAAGGAATATTATTCGGTCGGATCCCGTATATTTCATTCCAATCACGAACCGCGTGAATTCTTAACAAAAATAACCAGGCGAAAAACCAAACGGACAAACGTTCCCCGTTATCGATCCACTCCCTTATCGAATTTCCATTCGGGGCCTAGAATCGATCAACTTTAAATATCGCACGCTGCCAACATAACCAGAGAGCTAATAGGTGAAGCACTTCTCCACGATGTGGCTCGATGAGAATATTATCGTCGATCGAACACATTATACAACGAACAATTGAAAGCCGGTAACCCTAGCGTGCTCGCGGTTGTGAACTTTCAACGTAATCACCACTGATGTCGCATTGTGCCGGTTTAATTCTGGCTAGGAATCGACCACCTGACGACGACGAATTTCCGTTCCTGTTCACTATCGCCTATGTATGTGGCGTAGTAATAACGATACATTTGAATTGCATCGATATGGATTGATACCCAGAGTATTTATTTTATTGACGCAATTTTAATCTCCGTGGGGAGATCAAAAAGCTTTCGAATCGAAATCGCTACACACTAATTGGAGAGATGTAAATGAAAATCTAAACGAAAACTACTTTAAGTTCATGCCCTCAGAATTTGAGAAACTATGAATTGTCTACGAGGGACACTGGCACATATATGTACATTTATTTATTCTTCCGTTCAAGCATGATTCCAAAAATACAATTGAATATTATTGTGAATAAACACTTGCTAAAAAATTCCGTAAGAAAAAGAGAAAGGATAACCTACCAATTGATTGCCATTAGCATTCATAAATATATTTTTAAATACACGCAACTGAAGAAAAATCTTAGAATTGAAAAGAATCAATGTCCGAAGTATCGATACTATACTACCTATTACTAGTGTGTAAAGTTTATATCTGGAGACATTGATCGATCGAGCTTCCGGGTCGGCGACTAGGCAGCGAACAAAAAATTCGATTGGCACCTCCCCCGCCGTGCGCACTATGCCCCCGGTGGCTACGGCCTGGAAATGGAAACGGGCCATTATCGAGCCCCGCTTACGCAATTAGCCAATGTCAGGCTGCGGCAGTCTTCTCATTGATTGATCGACCCCCGGCGAGGGAGAAGGCCTAGGTCAAGGTTGTCGGGGTCAGGAAATAAGAGAGGTCGCGTGAACGGTGCAACTTATCGTGGTAGGGGAGGGTGGAGGGTCGAGGAGGAGGAAACTCAGCCATCCAGTATCTTGAAGGGGATAAAACGGGGTGCACACGCTCGAAGGGGAGGCATCGATTTCTCTCAACGTCGCACGGTTTCGAGCCCTCCTACACTAGGCGATTGTCAAGCCGATGTTTCTGCCAGTCAGAACATTTCTGTTCGATCATTGGATTTTACACACGCGAATGGAAAATTTTTTGTCTTTTAAAATCGAACAAATTTTCCATCGAACGAGACGCAAATTAATCCGTATAATAAAATAATAACCGGTTCTGGTATCGTTTGTTTCGTGAAAAAAAAATTACGAGAGATGTATATACGTGGCGACAGAAGAAGGAAACAGAAATCTACGGCATTAATAAACACTTGCTCCACACCGGGTAATTTCCTTAATCACCAAATAGAGATACCAGGCGGTGTACCGTGTACCATTACGCGTATAAAGAGGGGATGTTATAAAGTTCACCGTGGAATATTGAAAACCGTAATGATAACCGTCCGTTTATTGCATGGAAATTTAAATGAAATACCGCCCCGATAAAGCGTACAAGTAAAGACAAGAATAATAATCCTCGTAATGTTATCCTGTGATTACGACGCGCGGCGAACGCGAGGGGAATCACGGAGTGTATAATATACGGCTACTGTAAATCTAATCACCAACGGGCAATAAAAATTAATAGACCGTGAGCGTATAAGCGCATGAAACGAAAAAACGTCACAGAGAGCAGCAAGTTTGCAGAAGAAGGTATGAAGTTCAGAAATAGTAAGACACAGACACACGCAGTGGTAGCGGCCTGGCAATTCCTTGATAGATAAGACAAGACCGCGTTACTCTCTGTTTCTCCAACAAAGCGCGATTGCGAAAATCCTCGCGCCACGGGAACAACGCCATTAGACTGGCGATAAAGAGCTCCGCCGGCTGGAAAGAATACGGGAATCCCACGCACCGAAACGCACCCATAACATTTTCCTATTGCGTAAAAAACACGCGGAGAACGCCCCCGTGACCGGCACCGTTTTCTCGGTGATTCGTGATTCTGCAGGGCCGTCTCAAATTTCCGTTGACGGTGTCGAATGAATCTTTAACAGATTCGTTATTTCAAAATTATCAGAGTTATATCGAATTTTAGTATCTGCTGATGCGCGGTGCAATTGAATAGAACTGGGCTAGCGCATGTCTGTCCACTACGTTCCGTTTCTACTTACTACCATACACGACTACAAGCGTTTTAAATTCATTTTCAAAGTCAACTTTCTCGAAACCAAAGCTCAAATAAATAAATTTTATTCTATATATACCTTCAGGTCTCTAGTCATTTACAATAAAAATGTCTTAGAGTGCAAAAGTTAACCCTTTAACGCCGAGATCTTAAATCGTTATTTCAAAATTATAAGACCCTCATTTTCTTCTTGCTTTATTTATTTTTGGAGGATCACTTAAATTGCTCAATCTAAAACATGGAGATCTACTTCGGATCGTTGAAACTACGGATCCTTACTGACAAAGGTTAGATAAAGTACCATTTACCCTAAAACCGTTTCCAATTTTCTTACCGATCTGTGTTCCTTGATAAGCGAATACACCAAGACGGTGTGGCCTTTTTCGGCAAAGAATTCGCAGAAAGAAGATGGACACGATAAAAAATAGGGGGGTGGGGGGCAGAAAGAAATTCGACAGTCATGGTGGCGAGCCGCGTTACGTGCACGCACAATGCAGCACGGCATAACGGAGAAGGTTTATCGCCCGAGGAACTAAAATAAACACACACGTCGGTGTAAAAGGAAAGCGGCTACGGAAGAAAGGGCGCAAAACGGCGTTTCAGCGTTTCCTCCCCCCATCCTCCCCGTTTCTTCGCGGCGATCTCCGGAACGATCTAAATATTTA